ATGAGCTATACACCAGCCCCCCACAACTGCTCTCTTGACATCTCTAGTTGGTGTGTCAAAACCTTAACATGTCTAAGGATGAAATGTTAAATTTTTCTTAAAAGTCCCATTTTCCTCACCTTTCTTTGACAGGAAATGGCATCATTATTTCACATTACTGCTCTTTAACCTGCTGCGTCTAATTCACAGCAAGTCCTTTTCATTGTATTTCCAAAAATGCCTCCCAAGTACATCCACTTCTTCAGTTTCCCTGTCACCTGTTGCACCCTCACGTCATTTCTCCTGTGGCTGCTCCAACAGGCTCTGTGCTGCCCCGTAATGAGAGCGCCCTAAAAATATCTACCGCAGGACGTAAGTGTTCAGCTTTCTTTAAAATGAAAATGTCAGTGCCTCACTTTTTGCTTCTTTGGAGTGGTTCTTTGGTTTTCAGCTCCTTTCTGTCCCCGGGGGAAGGGGCACTACTTTTTGGATGATTCAGCTTCTACTAAGAAGCCCAGAGTCTACTGAGAAAGAACGAGGAGGAAGGAGGCAAGATAAAGGACTTGCCCAGGTGTAGACTGGAGGCCAATTCTGAAGTAAGAAGGCTAAAGTGTGTGTGCACGCGCTTGCGCGTGCGTGTGCTTGTGTGTGTGTGTGTGTGTGTATGTGGAGGAAGGGCAGAGAGAGGGAGAGAGATGTCTTTAAAGGCTCAGAGGAAGGTGGTCCCTTGTCTCCTTGCAGGCACATTACAGCTAGATGGAGTGTTTAGACCAACAGGAACGAGAGTCTTCAAAAGACCCCTTATCTCTCCTAGTGGCACACAGGGAGTGAGACCCACAGTAACTGGTGGTGCCTGAGCACCCAAGACCCGTGAGAAAGCGTGCATCATTGACCAGAGAGCACCAGCCTTTGCAGAACCAGCACATCTGATCCCCCGTTTTTTTCCATCATCCCCGTTGAGTGAGGATTTTGTTTGTCAGCAGTCTTGCCTGTGGTTGTCCAGCAGGAGTGTCACCTCATCAGCTGGAACCTCTGGCTTATCCCTGTGGCTGCCTGACTCCTAGGCTGTATTTTTTGCAATCACATAAGCTTTAGAAAAGAGGTCTCTTGGATACCTGCTGGTGCGTGGGGATCCCTTGCCTCCATACTTGGGAGGCTGACCTGCACTAGAACAAGACCCCTGGCTGGGACACCAGCAGATGACCCTTTCTGCTTCACGTTAAATGGGACCCCATCAGTCCCTTTCAAGCTCTTTACAGTGGCCTCCAAAGCCTCACCCTCCTCCTTGCCATGCTCCCCCTAGCTCTGTGCTCTGGTTACATGGAACTTTCCTTTGCCTTCCAAGTGCTTATCTTTCTCACACCTTTTTCACTTGCTGTTTTCTCTGCTTTGAACACCCTTCCTCCTATTTGCATAGCTAGGTCCTTGTCATCTTTCTGTTGTTTGTTTAAGTGCCACTTTTTTGGAAAAGTCTTTTTTGACCTTCTCTTTTCCCTTTTTCTCTGTATTCTTGATTTTAGCCCTTGTTTGTTTCCATCACAAAGCACCGTGATTTGTAGTTATTTTATCAGTTTGCTTTTAGTCTAGGTTCCTTACTTGAATATCAACTTTTTGGGGGTGGGACTGTTTATGTCCTTCTCATCGTGTGTCCCAGCACTTGGCATGGAGCCTGGTATACATTAAGCACTAAAAATTAATTCGTGATGAGGAACTTCAGCAAATGTGTTGAGTGTCTACTGTGCGTCTAGTCACAGAAAATGGATCAGCTCACTGCATCCTCAGCGAGCCCCGAGGTGGGTAATGATTATCCCCCATTTTAAAGATGAAGAAACAGGTCCAAAGCAATGAAATAACTTGCTCTGGGGCACATACTTGATTAGTGGCAAAGGCAGGATTTGAACCTAGTTTTGAGTTTGATGTCCTGAGCTCTCTGCAAAACTGTTCCTGTTAATACTTTACCAGAGCGGTGTTCTGAGTCACTCAACTGAAGAAAGTCGTGGAGGGGATCAAAACTTGTAGAGCACGGTTGTAGGGTCAGTTAACTGCTCTCTTTGGCCTGAGTAAGGGGGCAGCTACACAGAGGTCAGACCCAGAAGCAGACTTAAATGGCTAAGTGACAGATTTTTAGGTTAGAAACCCTATGGTGAAGGATTTTAATGGCTCTTTAGGTTAAAAATTATAATTTTGCCTGGATTTTTTTTAAAGCATTGTAGTAATAAGTCTGGATCTTTTTTAAAGCATTGTAATCATTGGAATAATAAGTTCTTGCTAGTTTGACTTAAAAAAAAAGATTAAGGGGGAAAAATATCCCCACCATTTTTTGGAGAATGAAGACTGGCCTTAGAAACCTTCAAAGCTTCTTCCGATGAGAGCGATTTGATGGGTTAGTGACTCTGACTTGGACTGTGGGTATTTTGCTTCTGGAGTCATTATTGCTTATGTTTTCATAAACTATTAAGGGGTGATTGCTGACTTCTTCAGGCGTGTTTTTAAAAGAATGAAACACATTAAAAGAAAGTGGCAGTTCGTTGTCAAATGCTCTGTGTGTCATTTGCTGTTTGAAAATGTCATTAGCATTTGAGGTTTCATGGAGCATAGAATCTTGTCGTTAACCATTTTTAAGGCTCTAAGATAAGTTGAGTTCTGAGAAATGAATTGGGAAGTTATATTGCTTCAGAAGGCTTATTTCTGGACTGAAACTCTTAATTTATATGCCAAAGAGGTGAGTTTGTAGAGATGATTATACATTCCCTGGATATATTCCCTACTTGATTCTTTTCTATACACGAGTGGTCAATTTCAACATATTAACTT